ACAGTAGAAATATATGTAGTGTGGAACCATGTACAGTAGAAATATATATGTAGTGTGGAACCATCTACAGTAGACATATTTTTACCTTCCTGTTAACAGGAAGTATTTTTATAACAAATTACCTGAAAAATAAGCTGTAAAAAGAAAATTAAAGTGAAATGATGTGATTTGGTTTAGTTTAAATTGTAAAACGATGAACGTTTTTGTTTTCCTGTTGAAACGATGAAAAGTTCAAACGTTTCAACGGTTGGATTTTACGAACGAGAACTTTTAGTTTTCCTGGAGACACAAATTCATCGTCTGTCCTTAGATTTATTTATTTTGACCCACTTCTCCTTTCTGGGTCTCGGGGAGCTGGTGTGTCTCCATCAGTTGCTGTGAGTGAGACAGTGGACACCTCGGACACGTCTCCTGTCCATCACAGGGACATGTGGAGACATTCCTGCTTTGAACGACCTCACTTTGGTGGAAAATCTGACAGGACTGATGAGCTAATGGCTAGTCAGAGCTCTGCTGAAACGACTCCAGTCACCAAAGTTTCACAGCGTGTTTTATGAACTTTAACCTTTCTGTCGGTTTCTTATCGTACGGTTGTTTCTGCAGAGCTCAGGGCTTATCTGTGCATGCTGATAGCAGTAGCTTGCTGTAGCACTTCCTGTGCAGTCTGGAGGCACTTCCTGCAGGATCATGTTTCTGCTGTACTAACCGTGTGAAACAGACGGTGATGTAAGAGTTTATCAATCGGTGATTTTAGGAACTGTCATGAAAGTTTGTTGTTTTGAGTTGGCAGTGATCCAGTGTGGTTCTGTTCAGACTACCGGTAGTCTTTAGCTCATCTGTCCTTTCAGAATTAAACCGACGTCGACCACAGAGCTATCTACAATGACACTTCAAAATGTCTGAAATATCACTTTAGCCTCAAACTAGAAATTACATTTTTTACACTGAAAATGAGAGAATTAATGAATCTAATATAAATCTCTCTTTAAAGTTTAAAACATTTTTGAGCTTTTATTGTGACATTAATTTCTCTTTCGTAGGAACAGGAACTTTAAATCTTTATAAACATTAATGTCAGATTTAATCTAAAGAATGAAGAGCAGGCTGATGAACAGCATGAGCTGTGGGCCGGGCTGGTTCTGGTCGGGCAGTGTTCTGCAGAGTGGATCAGTGGTTTATATGAACTGAGCTGTTTGTCTCAGAACAGGCTGTTATTGTTGCAGCGCCCCCTCCCTCTGCTGAATAACTCCTCTTATTTGGAAAGGGAAGCGCCCGGCTCAGGGGCTGCTGTGATTGGACGAAGCAGCCGTCCAATAGGACGTCAGAGAGGACTTTACGCCAGCAGAGAAACTTTTTTCTTCTTCTGTGGAGAGGGGCGAGAACCGGGCTGATCGCAGTTCTGTTTGCTTCAGGAAAAGATCCGACTACAGAGCCTGGTGTCAGTCTGGGTGAGTCGAGCTTCAACAACCTGGAGCTGAAGGTTTATGGTTCCTGAACCTGGGGGCGTCAGGCTCCTGAACCTGGGAACTTCTGGATCCTGAACCTGGGAACTTCTGGATCCTGAACCTGGGGGCTTCTGGATCCTGAAACTGGGGGTGTCAGGCTCCTGAACCTGGGAACTTCTAGATCCTGAACCTGGAGGCTTCTGGCTCCTGAACCTGGGGGTGTCAGGCTCCTGAACCTGGGAACTTCCGGATCCTGAACCTGTGAGCTTCTGGCTCCTGGAGCTGAAGGTTTCAGGCTCCTGGAGCCGAAGGTTTCAGGCTCCTGGAGCCG